TGCATTGTTTTGCTTGACCTGCGGTCACGCAACCATTCGCCGAGCACGCAGTTCCGACCAAAAACAGGAACGAACAGATCTACCCAGCGCATACCAGCGTTTCGTTGCCTTCGGGACCAGAAGAGCAACATCCACAGCGCATGCCAGCGTTTCGTTATCCTGTATCCACATGTTGATTCCTTTTTATGGAGGATTCTCCACACTTTGACCCCCCCCCATCTCTCTCCTCCCCTTTCCCCCATGGCCTCCAACAGCAGAAGGGAGGAGAAGGGAGGGAAAGGATTTATGTTTGATGATTTTACAGATCGATTCCATGTGTGGAGGAGCCTCGATCCTCCGCATGTTGTTTGTATGTTTTTCCTTTTTTTGTTTTGGTGAACTGCGGTTTATGCAGCCACTCGCAGAACCCGTAGTTTCAAAGACAAGCAGCGCATACCAGCTTTTCGTGGCCTTGGGGGCACCCTCAACAAGAAAAACGGTTCGTGGCCCTGGGGTCCACGAGTCGCTGGTCTGCGCTGCTTTTTCACAACCATTCCCCGAGCACGTAGCAGAACAAAGCAAACAGCACATACCAGCGTTTCGTTGCCTTGGGGAGGGAGGAGGAGGGAGGGGGAGGATTCCTTTTGTGGAAGATTTGGGTACTGATTCTTTATGTGGAGGGTCCCGTCAATAAGACACATGAAAATTGGATGATGCAGTCTCATAAATGATTTCGGTGCCTGCTTATTCCGACGAGCGAGCGGAAGAACGTCGCCGGGTGGCATTATGGATTAAAGGTTATTGATCAATTGATCAATTCAGGTCGCGGTGCAAGCACCGTAAACATTTCAGATCTGTTCACGCGTGCAATTAATGGATACGGGGAACTATCGCAGACGGGGATCTCGATAGTGCGCCGTTGTAGCGTGATCCGTTCGTGCGTTACACCGCACTCACTTCTTCACCCCTGGGCTGGTGTACGTGCGGCCGTTTTTGCGCGGGCATGTGCGTGCATGTGCGCAGTTTGTGCCAGGCATGTGCCCGGCATGTGCAGGCGCTCTCGGACGAATGCCTTCTGCGTGATCAGCATTACCGGAGCGCTGACCCCATCCTTGCGTTGGATTGGTGTTATATCATGCCACATCCCTTATACGGGTATGGTGTATGGTGTTTCTGTTTGAGTGCCAGCCGCATAAGCTTCCTTCGTTCCCCTCGCTTCACTCCTGATTCCTCTTTCCTGCTCATGTGCCCCTCCCTTCTCCGATGTTTCGACTCTGCTGCATGTGCGCGCATGTGCGTTTTATGTTTTCAGAGTTTTGCCAGACTGTGCATCCGACTGTGCATCGGACTGTGCTGCATATGCGCGCATGTGCGGCAGTGCTGTTGAGGCTTTTGTGGAGTTGCATGAGCATGTGCATTCGACTGTGCGTCATGTGCCTGCATGTGCGGCCCCGTGTGGACTTCAATTTGAATGTGATCGCTATAGAAGTGAGCGCTATAGAAATGAGTCCGGTGTTTCCGTTTGCGAATCAGCATCATAATCTATCATTCGTCTGATGCCTCCTCCCTCCTCTGCGGGTCACATGCTCCCTTTGGCAATTGGGGGGCGATAGTTTGTCGCCGTAGCAGAAAACGCGCGTTCCCAGGAGGAGCCAAGAGCATATTGTCTCATTTTTAGCTGCTAGATGTCGATGAATTTGAACTGGCTTCCGAGATTTCTCGGCGTCCCGCTCATCTGGACATAGAGGGAAATTGTATTGTTCCGCGCAGCGGAAAACGCTCGTTCCCAGGAGGGGCGGACATGCCATTCAAGAGTATGTTGTTTTGTTTCCAGCCGCTAGACGTCAACGGATGTTGTTGTTTCCTCTCAGATGTCTCGGCATCCCTCTCCTCTGGACGTAGGGAGACCGCATTCGTTCGCCGCAGCAGAGGACGATCGCCCCCAGGAGGGGCAGAACTCGAACTCGAGTATTGCGTTTTATTTCTAGTCGCTAGATGTCGATGGATGGTTGGTGGTTTCTTCGATTTCTCGGGATCCCGCTCATCTGATCATAGGGACACAACATTCTGTCGTAATAGCGGAAAGCCCTCGTTCCCAAGAGGGGCGGACATGTAATTCAAGAGCGTTGCGTTTTATTTCCAGCCGCTAGACGTCGACGGACGTTTATCCCGTTCAGCTGAACATGGGGAAACCGCGCTTTCTTCGCTATAGCGGAAAACCCTCGTTCCCAAGAGAGGCGGACATTTCATTCAAGAGTGTTGCGATGTCGATGGATTGTTGGCGTTGTTTTAGATATTTGTACATCCCGCTCGTATGGATCTAGGGAAACCGTACTCTTTCGCCGAAGCAGAAACACTCGTTACCAGGAGGGCCGGGAATCTCATTCAAGTTATGTTGTCTTATTTTCAGCCGCCAGATGTCGATTGACTTGGGTTGGTTTCTTATCTCTGTATCCCAATCACCTGGATATAGGGAAGCAGTATTCTTTCGCCGTAGCGGAGACCATTCGTTCCCAGGAGGGTCGGGAACGCCATCCAAGACTATTCTGGATCATATCTAGGCTCTAGATGTCGATCGTTTTTTGGTGGTCGTCTTCGTATTCTTATTGTTATTACTACTATGATTTCACTTTTCAGTGAAAAACCGCCCAGGCCTGTGAAGTACCTGTAGCCGGAGGAGGAGGAGGCAGAGGAGGCGGAGGCGTAGGAGGGAGGGGGGAGAAGGAAGGAGGTGGGAGGAATGAGCTAATAGGGGTGGAGGGCGGCAGGGAGGGAGGGGTAGGGGACGGGGACGGTTGGTGGGCCCAGGGGCGAAGAGAAAAGCGCCCTCCCCCACCACCCAGCCGTGTTCCTCCTTCCTTGCCCCCTCTCCATCCCCCTCCCCTCTCGCGCTCTACGCTCCCTCCCTCGCCCCTCGGGCTCCTCGCCCCCCCGCGTCGCGGAACCAACGTTGACCCCTCCGAGCGGCCTTGCGTCGTTGCTCCACCGCTGTGCCCCCGCCCCTCCTCCACGCATTCCCCGCCCATCGCCCCCGTGCCATGAGCAGCGCCCCCCTCCTCCGGCCGCGGGATCGACAGCTTGAGGCGCCAATCCCCCTATTTCCCGTCTTGGTCCTCGTCATGCTGTTTCTTCCGCAGCGCCGTCCTCGTATTCGTCGTTTTCCAATAATCCCCGTATCCCCAGGGCCAGTTGGCCCTGATTCTCCATCTCCGTCCCGCCTTCTTCCAGATCAGGATAGAGTAGGATAATCAGGCCTTCCCAGCAAACGTTTGGAAAGCAGAGGCCTCCTGTTTCCTCTTCCATTCTCCTTTTGAGTGGTCGTGCCGTCGCCTCTTTTCCCACCTAGCTTGGGAGCCCTGTTCGCTCAGCGCGTCCCCATTCCCTGGGCACGCGGAAGGGCCAACAGCTGCTCCCCCCCGCACTGACCCGCAGAGGCTCGCATTCCCAAGGTAGCGAGCCTCTCTTACGGGGCCACCTCGAAGCTCGCCCCTTGAAGCTTCCGGGTATGCCCCCTGCCCGCCCTAGTGAAAACTCAGGGCTGTTACGCAACCAGATTGCAGGGGATTTTGCAGGCGCGCGCAAGACACCAGTCTAGGTGAATTGTTGTTGACCCCCTTATGCCGATGGCCTGTGTCCTGTGTCTTCTGTTTCTTCCTCTTACTTCTATTCTGCAGTCTTGACTCAAGGCATTCGCAGGGTAGCTCCAGAAACCAACGCAGCGCTTACACAGTTCGTGTTGTAAGAACGCCGGAGGTAGCGGCCCGCATGGCCACAACGGCATGGGCCGCCTCTCTTGCAATGCTCCTCTGCCACCCCACGGATGCCAGGCCCGACAGGGACAAGGCAATGTCGGTGTACATCACGGGATGGACGGAGGTATGCACGTACCTGGCCAAAACGGTTTCCGAGGGGCCAACACGCAATACGATCATTGAGTATGCCAGCCGGCTCCAGAGTGTTTGGCCGAGGTTTTGCCCATTTTCAGGAAACGCACCAAAGGGAAACAAGGACTCGCGAGACCGGATAGCGACACGCGCAGGAGCACATTCGCAGGATAGTCTGCGAAATACAATATCGGAGTTGCCACATTTGGGGTGTTCAAGCTAGTGATTGGCCGCATCGCGGCCCAACTGATCGAGGGTGAATCGGTTATGTGATTCGAGCCGTTTTGGGACATGCGGTTGACATTGCTTGTGTCCCTCAGTTCCCCCACCTCTGGTTGACCCCCACCCCAGCTCCATTACGCTGCGCTGCCAGTTTTCCAGTTCCACGGGCCGTGTGTTTCCAGCTGAATTTAAAACATTTACGTAGCACCCCGCAGTTGCGGATAAGAGTGAGGGGGCGGCGGGGACGTCGGCAGTCTGCGAGATTTTGAAGAAGCCCGCCGCAGGCGCACCATTTTTCAAGCTATACAAAGAGCCCGCCGCAGGCGCCGTTTTTTTGCTAAAGCAATGTAGGTGGGTCGTGGGTTGGGTCGCAGGTGGGTCGCGGGTGGGTCGACGGTGGGTCGCGGCCGGGTCGCGGCCGGGTCGCGGGGGGGTCGCGGGTGGGTCGAGGGTGGGTCGCGCGTGGACCGCGGGTGGGTCGCGAACGGGTCGCGGGGTGGACCGCGGGGGGGTCGCAGTTGGGTCGCGGGATGGGTCGCGGGTGTGTCACGAGGTGGGTCGCGGGTGGGTCGCGGGCCGGGCCGCGGGGGGCCTCCCATCCCTGGCCTTCGTTCGGCAATAGGCAGAACATGATTTTCCCGTGAGGTCGCCTTGCGCTTCTCAGAGGGGGGCGGGCGAGGAACGACAATTTTCTCCCTCCTACTACGCGAGCGCCCAGCGGACGTCCGAGATCCACCGCGCCGCTTGCGGCGCGCCCCGCGCATGGCCGCACCGCAGGGCGCGGGGGCGGCGGGCGCACACTTAGAGCCCGACCCTGGCCGAAGTGGGGAGGAGGGGAGGAGGGGACGCTCACGGCCCACGCTGCTCCTCCTCCCGGAGTGGCCCCAGCCCATGGGAGCCCGCGCGCGCGCGGAGGCTCTGCGGCTTGCCTCCTTCGACGTGTCCATGGTGAGACTGCGCCTGAGCGGCGCGTCCTGGGAGGCGGGCGGCCACCGCGACAGCACAGGGTCCACTTCGATTCGATCGAGGTCCTCGGCGGCGCACCGAGGGGGAAATGAGAGGAGGGTAGGCCTTGTCAGATGGCGTGGGGGCTTCTCAGAAGCCCTCCGCACCTTTGAGAAGCCTTGTGTGTCTTCAGATAAGGCGCAGGAAGCTTCTCAGAACGTCAGGGTCCTCCTGAGCCTTCCGAGAAGGCCCGCCCACTCTGCCTTTCCACCATCCCCCCCTGGCGCGCCGCAGAGATCCGATCGGCCCCGATGCTCGCATGGTGGAGTTGTGCATCCTGGCGCGGCAGATCCGACTCAATGTCGACTAGGTGCCGCTGCGGCCTGATCCGACGCACGTTCCGATCCGATCCGATGACCCCTTTGGATCGTAACTGGTCTTTGCAGCAGTGACGACGTCGACGGCGGCGATGACGACGACGATCGGCGCGGCGCGGCGACGATGGCGATCGACGGCGAGGGACGAGGAGGGCGACGACGAGAACGACGACGTCGACAGCGGCGACGGTGTTGCCGGCGACGACGGCGGCGGCGTGGGGGGCCGTCAGAGGCAGGTCCGACGCAGTGTCGGGGTCGTCGTCGCTGGTTGTCGTCGCTCTTCCGTAGCTTCGGTGTCAGCTTACACGCCAGTCGTTGCAAGTAGGTATTTTTGGATTCCCTGATCCCACTCTACTTCAAGCGCCTTCCTACTTCAAGAATCGACATGCTTTTGCTGTGTTTTGTTATTCCCTGGAGGGGCCTGGACCCAATCCACTTTATCCGCCTTCCTACTTCATGTTGTTTACCTACTTCTTCCGACCGACGTGAAGTCGGTCGCCGTCGTCGCTGGCCCTTTAGCGTTTGAGCGGGCGTGACCCGGTGACCCGCTAAAATTGGTGCGACTGGAGCCTTACTCTTGCTTCAGCTCCAGGTCGTACTCCTAGTGGGAGTATCCCGAGTCTTTACTTCATTAGTCTCCATCTCACTGGCTTGACATTTCGCGTATCCATGCCAGTCCACCAGAAACAAGTCCTCGGCGAAGTGTCGTCCGACAGTAATCTGAGAAGCATCATTGCCACAATGGCGAAAGCACGGATCAGACCACTATAAGGCCGCCCAGGCCAGCCTTCCAGATAGTTGAGTTGCCATGTTCTTGAATTTCATCACCTTACAGCCGATCCGCATAATAAGGATGAGCGATTTTGCCAAGCGTACCCCTTGCCTCCTTCCCCTTTCAGCCCATCCTTGGCCGCTTCCGCTGGCTGCGCCCCACTCGCAGAGTGTCGACATGGCCTTCTAAGGCCATTGCATCCTGATCGCCCATCCTTACACGGGTTGATTGTCGCGCAGCGTCGTTTCCCTCAGCCTCGGTCACGGAGGCCTCCGACCGTCCGACCTCCCCACGAGGAGGGCCCTGAATCGCTCGACCCATGCCCCGGAGGCGGGCCCCTGTCCTCCTGGCTGTGCTCCTCCTCCTCCTCCTTCATGGCCCCCCGGTCCGCACTCGGCCCCCGCAGGCCGAAACGGGCGAAGCCGAGCACGCATGGCTTTCTCCAACGCGCTGAAGGCATGGACGTTTGTGGCAGGCCCTGCCTGGCGCAGCTCGGCTCAGCCTGGAGGCAGCCTGGCTTCGCACAGCGAACTGCTGGTGAGGTCTGCTTCACCTGGCCAGGCATCGCATCGGCCAGCCCAGCTTTACACGGCACGGATCTGCGGTTTCAGCTAGACTCTCCTCGCAGTGCGCCCTTTTCGATCGCTTCGGTACGTTCTGAAGCGTTTTCTTCTTTTGTTGGGTGATCTTTTGAAGCCTCCGGAGGCCTACAGACTTCAGAGGACTCCGGTTCCTTGAGTTGTCTCGCTCTGCTTCAAGTGTTCTCCGCGATCGGGCCAGTCACGGCGGAGCATGGCTGGGCTTGGTCGGGTCGGGCCCAGGCTGGGGGTAGCTCGCAGTGTCTCCGCCGCCAGTCAGGGGTCCCGCGTCGTTGCCGACGCCTTCGGGCCCTCGGGCGGAGTCGGAACGACGGCCTCTCCGCATGGCCAGGCTGTCGTTTAGGCTGCAGACGGAGACGTTGCTCGGCCGTCTTGGTCTGCAGCTGGGTGGCCCGAGGCCGTCTTGGTCCCGGGCCATTCTTGGCCCCGGGAGCCCCGTGGGGGATCGGCATGCTGGCAGCTGTTCGTGCCACCCCTCCCTCCTTCGCCAGGGCCAGGCCTCGAAGCGCTGCGGCTTGGCGGATGGCCCGTCGTGATGCGGGCTTCGGGTGACCCGCAGTGCGCGGAATGGTTGGCGTTGGGGGGGCGATTCATGGCCACCGCCTCCGCGCGCGCGCACCTTTTGCCGGACCAGCTTTATTTGTGGGGCTGGCGTGCACAAACTGCGTCTTTTGGCATCGAGACGTCAGGTCGCTGCCCTGTGGGGCGCACGAGGGCACGATGGAAACGAGCCTCTCTGGCCTCCCGCGTGCCGCCTCCTGCCCCAGCTGCCTCCTGCTTTTTCGGAGTGGTGTCGGGCCTGCTCGGGTCCGGGTGCGAGCTCATTTGGGGGCGCCTCTCTTCGCGGTGTGGCGGGTCCCTTGCCTCCCTGCGTCTCGGGTTCGGGTGTGGGCTCAGTTTTTGGGCTCGTCTCGGACTCTGCCAGTGACTCCTACTTGCGTCCCTTCGCCGCCGGGGGGATCGGGCGGAGCTCCAAACGATGGGAAGTCGTACGATCAGTCGGCGGCCCTGCCTGGTTCGACCCTCTGGGAGCGGCTAGGCGGACTCCGCCGTCTGTTTGCCAATCGCGATCTGGTTTGCAGTGGAGAACCCTCGCCAAGTCGCAACACTGCCGCTTCGTTCGCCCTGTGCATAGAGAGATGACCACTCACTCCCGTGGCCTCCGCTTGTCAGTCCGCCAGGGAAGGCCTGCCAATCTTTGCCCTCCCACATCCAGTTTCCCCTTGCCCCCCTCCTACTCCTCCTCCTCCTACTCCTCCTCCTCCTCGTTGTTGCCTTTCATCGACCCTGTGCCGATCATGCCAGTGCTGCACCAACGTGCTCTACATTTCGGGCCTGCCGTGACGGAGGCCGTCGGTGCCCAAGAGCTCTTGCACAGACGCACCCTGGTGCCGAAGCGCAGGTCCTGTCGCGTGCAGCGCCTGGCCCACTGCCGGGCGCACCAGACGAGGAGCTCCGTGCTGCCGCTTCGGGTGCAAGGCGAGGTTCGGTGAGTCCATCGACCACTTCCTGCACCGCCCTGCTGCTTGTGAGGCCCTGCCGCTCGCCGCCCCCTCCCTCCCTCGCCGTGATGGTGCATGGGGTCGGTTTCAGTGCTGTCTTGTCGTTGAGGCCCCGCCCCCGAAGTAAGTGAGCAGAATTATGTCGGTCTTTTGGTGCATGATGTTCCGCTGCCAGTCCTCAGTACCCTGAGGACTCAGGATCGCTCTCCTGGCCTCTCTGCCTCCAGCTGCCTGGCCTCTCTCTTCGGCTCTCGAGCTCGCGTCCTTCCGAGACGCCGTGTTGGGGCCCGAGCTCCTCCTCACCTCTCTTGGCCGCCAGGCCTAACCAAGCTTGCCTCGTCACGGAAGCGCAACCCGCACCGCCCCGCCGCCCGCGCGCGGGGGATTCGGACCTTTTTGGATTCCTCTCGTCTGCTGGGTTTTGGCCGCATGCCTTGTCTCCTATATGGGCCCGTGCGCTCCTCCTGCCTTCGGTTTGCTTCTCTTCACCCTCCTTCATGTACTCTCCACCCCTCCTTCCTCCCCATCCTTCCCCTCCTTCCCCGCCCCCTTCTCCCTGCACCTCCCTCGCCCCTTCTGCCGCCGCTCTCCGCTCCCCTCCCCCCATTCAGCGATCGGGCCAGTCAAAGCGGACGGCGGGGTGGCCGTGCAGACCCCGCCGCCAGGCGCTGGTCCTGGGCTTGGAGGCGCTGGCGCGGTACCAGCGGCTGCGGTCGCTGGAGTTAAGCTCCATTGCCATCAAGGCCCCGCCACTTCTGGTCCCCAAGGGGTCGTAAAATGGAGGGGCGGGGCGAAGAGGAAAGAAAGTTTGTTGGTGGAGGAGGGGGGGATGAGGACGAGAGGACGAGACACACCGCGAGGACAAACACAAGGACGAGCTGTTGGAGAAGGAAGAGGAGAAAGCGAAGGAAGAGGAGGAGGAGGAGGACAAGGAGGAAAAGGAGGAACAGGAAGAGGAGGAAAAGGAGGAGGAGGAGGCTGAGGAGGAGGAGGAGAAGGAAACAGAGGAGGAGGAGGCGGAGGAGGAGAAGGAGGAGGAGCAGGAGGAGGAGCAGGAGGAGGAGGGGAGGAGGAGTAGGATGAGGAAAAGTAGGACGAAGAGGACGAGGAGGAAGAGGAGGAGGTGGAAGAGGAGGAAGAGGAGGAGGAGGAGGAGGAGGAGGAGCAGGCAGGAGCAGGAGGGGTAGGGGGAGGAGGAGGAAGGAGGCGGAGGAGGAGGAGGAGAAGGATGAGGAGGGGTAGGAGGAGGAGGAGGCGGAGGCGGAGAGGAGGAGGAGATGGCGGAGGGTGAGGAGGCGGAGGCAGACGGTGGATACCCTCACGCGCCTAGCTCTGGTGGGCGGCCCGCCCGCTCCAGCATCCAGGCGGGCGCACGGGCCACGGATACAGAGAAAGGCGCAGTAGGACAGCGAGGGCATGCCCCCCCTAAACAAGTGGAGGATTCATTGGAGGGCAGTGGTGGGTGAGGAGGACGACGACCAGCAAGGGCGACCATCGCGCTGAGCGCCAGGATTTCGAGCACCGCTTGCTCGACTCAGCCCGTGCCATCATGGCTACGTCCGCTCCCGCACAATGTGGGCGAGACAGAGCAGCAGCAGGTCCCCACGCCCACGAAGCACCAGGATGCTTGCCACAAGCGCGTGGTGGACGCGGAGAACGCGCCCCAGGATGTTGATGCCCGCGCCCCCGAGCAGGAGCAGCTCCTGGCGCGGTTCAATTCGCAACAAGCGGCCCTTGCGTCCCAGGGTGTGGCGCTCGCGGCGCCGTAGTCTGGTGCGTCGACGGAGGCCACCGTCTCGCTGCTGGATTCGGACCAAGAGCTGCGGCTCCTGGGGCACGGCGTCGACGAACTCGGCGTCCAGGTGCCCGACCTGCGCGGCCCTGCGGGCAATCTGCGCGAGCTGGTCCCGCAGTGTTCGCATCAGGCCCCGGTGCGGCTCGAGGCGCCTGCTGGCCAAGCAAAGGCGGAGGGCGTGGCCTCGACGGTCGAGGCAACGCCATCTGTACCGCTTGAGGCCCTTGTGCCTGACGTAGCGCACATGCGTTCCGAGATCGCTGCCGGGGGAGTGTTCCACCTGCGGACGATTGTTATCGGCGTCGGCGACACTCGTCGGCATGCTTCGTCGGCGTTCTCTCCTTGTCGCAGTGGTTCGATTGCTCATTGTTGCCATAGTGTCGTTCGAATACCACCGCGAGCGGATGACAGAGCCTGGGTGTGCCTGTTGCGGGGTTTTGTGTCTAGCCATTTGACATTGATCTCCCGCCGCCGGGCTTCAAGTGCACTGTCCGGCCTGATCCTGAGCAGCCCCGTGCTTTGTTGGAAGGCGGCCTTGGAGATTGGTCAGCGCGTTGGACCACCTGGTCCACATGTTCCGAGCGCTGCTTGGCAGTGCGGGGCTCTTGTACCTCAATCTGAGCGGCAATTATGTTTGGTGGACGGGCTGGGGGCGGGCAGTCACTTGATGGCCGCGTTGTCGTCGGCGGCATGGTCCACTTCAAAGTCGATGTGTTTTTTCGTTCGGGAGCCGATGTTCCCCGACTCTGCGGCAGCTGGTGGCGACGGGCAGTGGCGCGTAGGATAATGACCTCACCTCGCACGTGAACCGCCAACACGGACGGGCGAGTGGGGTTTGTCTGTTTGCTGGGGCGTGGGCTGTTCGCGCCCTTGCGATCTCGCTCTACGTGATCACCTTGATTGGTTTGGCGGGCGACTGCCTGAATTTGCCTTCTGATTCTGAGGCTGCATCTACTGTTTGATTGCACCCTGCGCCGTTGACCATATGCGCCGACTGGAACTTGCATGCTCGCATCATTGCGCTCGCGGGGGGGCATCGCTGCTGAACCGGGCGCTCCGACCCGGGAGGGCGTCGCGTCGCGTTTTCTGGCCCATCGCGCTGCTGCCCTTCAGGCGTCTGCCAGTGCGCCATCTGGCACGCGCGACCAGGTGCGCGACGCATTTGTGCCGATCTGGGACTACCCCGCTGTACAGGTCGAGGGTCCGCGACGGCCCTTCTCGACGGCCAGGGCAGAGGCAGGCCCCGACTCCGAGGGCGCCGTCGAGCCGCGCGAACAGTCCACTGAGGGATAACAGCTCGAGCAGGCTGAGTTGGTCGATCCCTTGGGGTGCTCGCGGGCGACATGTGCCAGGTGGCTTGACCTGGCGGAGCGCCCCTGCATTCGAACCCAGCGCAGCGATGCGCAAGATGCCAGCCATCATCGAGGACGGGAGCGGGGCGCGTGCATAATTGCAAAGCCCCTCCAAGAGTTGCGCGACTTTTCTGGCGCGGAGACCAAGTGGAGTCTCCTCCGCATTTGGAAGGCCGTGCCTTGTCGGGGCCGGGGCCCGGTAAGCGGCAGGCTGCGCGAGCAAGTCCCCACCTGCAAGCCCATGCCCTTGCTATCCCTGCGTCGATATCTGGCGCCGATGCCACGCGCGCGGTGGCGATCGACAAGTGGCTTGCTTGGGTCGACAGGGGCAGCCCTGAATCGGCGCGGCACGAGGACTTCTTGGAGGAGGGGGTGGCCGTGCGCGCGGTCAGACTCGGCGGCCAAAACCAATCGCGAGAAGGAAAAATGCAGGTCGGCTCTCTGTCTGGCTCTGGGAGAGCGGCGCGAGAGCTGATCCCGCCGAGAATTGTCGGCCCGCCCCCGTGGTCTTGCCTGGCGATGCGGAGTCGTCACTTCCTTGGCTGTTGAAGGTGTTCCGCAGGAGTGGCTTCGGGCCAGGGGGCCAGGGCAGACGAGACTCGCGCGGTCGATGGGCAGGCGCAGAACATCTTGGAGCCCGCCAGATCGGAGCAGGTTAGCTCTGCCATTTTTTCTTGGCAGTGGGAAGGGCCTTAGTTGGCGCGATGTCCACCCTCGTCGGAAGCTCCTGCGTCCCGCTTCGCCGCCATCCTGTCCGAGTTCGAACGCGCGGCCGTCGTCCTCGGTCTTGGGGCGACGGTGGTGGCGTTGATTCCCACGCCTTCTCCCGACGCGGGCCGGCGCCCCAGCGGCGCGTTGGCGTCGTGGATACAAGCGCGGGGCAGTGCACGCCGAAGGCTCGCGCGCGCTCGGGTGGCCGGCGTCGACGCCAGCTTCCCCCAGGGCATGCCTGACGACACGGCGGCTGACCGCGCGGCCTGGATTAACGGCGAGCGCGCGGTGCATGCCAAGCGCCGTGGATTCGTCAGCGGCGCGCTATGCTGTGATGTCAGAAGTATGGGCGATCATATTTCGCGCTGCGCTGAGCGCGTGGAAGGGAAGCGGCATGGGTTCGACGAGCAGATGTTGACGTGTCTGCGCGCGGTCTACAGAGGGCCGGGGAGGGCTCGGTGGCTCCGGGCGACTTCTCGCCACGCGATGCCCAGCGGGACGGTGTTTGCGGGCTGCAGCTTCGCCGTTGGCGCGGTGAAGGTCATGGCCTTCTGTTCGTCGCGTGCCTTGGCCGCGGGGGCCCCTGCCGGTCGGCAGCTGAACCGCGCGGGCGATTTAAAGATTCGGGCTCGCTCGAGGCGGTCGCGCGTCACGTTGGACCAGGCGGCCGCCACCATCTCGACTCAGATGAAGAAGTTGGACCTCGCGCTTAATTTGGTCAAGATGTGCTTCCTCATTTCGAGCCCCGAGCTGATCGGGGCTTTGCTGGACGACCCCGACTGGCCGTTCGACGTGTCCCTCTTGGCCATCGGCCACCGCGACCTGGGCGGCGACGCCTCCCGGCGCCCCCCCGCGTCGTCGGCCGTGGCGGGGCGCCTCGGAGATCGGGGGGGGGAGGGCGTTTCAGGTTCGCGGAGCGGGGCCCGTCGCTAAGTCCATGTGGGGAGCGCGCATCAATGGTCTCGGGGCTCCTGCTCTTAGGGCAATGCGGGCTGCCTTGTATAGCCAGATCTTCTGGCCCCGATGCAGCCTGGGCGTTCTCTCGGCCGCTCCGTCGGCTGGCCGGGCACGTTTGTCGTTTGTGCGCCTCTTGGGGTCCGTTGTTGCCACGGCTGGATCCGCCTCGACATCTTGTCAGGACACGCGCCTCGTGTTAGGTCTGGGGAGGACCAGATGGGAGGGACATGGGGTGGATTCGAATCAAGAGGATTTCGGACTGTTCGTCGCCACGGCTAGACGCATTTTGCAACAACTGACTAGGATGTTGCCCGAGGGGGTCCAGAGAGTTGGTTTGATTTCCAGCTTGGAGGTCTCGTCGTCGCAACCCTCGGATCCAGGCGTCGCGAAAGACTGCGACGGGCGTCTCCGTATATGCTACATATGTGGTTTTCGGGCCTTCGCGGAGCGACCTGGTTCAGGAAGTATCCCGCAGAAAGACCGTATTGTGAGCTCCGAGTGTTACTGCGAAGGCCTAGCGGCCGGTGCCGCCGACCCTGAAGGGAGACGATGACGACAACGGTGGCGGCGACGACGACGATGACGTTGGCAAGAGCCCTCAGGGATGCTTCTTGGGGTCCCTTCGGACGGTTTTTGGGGGCCGCTGGGGAGGAATTCTGGGGCCTCTCAGGAGCCTCGGCGTCGAGTGTTGGACGTCTGGGGGCTCCCGAATCCCACTGCGCCACACTGCTGCTGCTGCTGTCGTGACAGCGCGGGCCCCGTGCGTTTTGAATGAACTACTCCGCGGAAGCGATATCGAGGTCCGTTGGTATTCTTGTGGTCTCCATCCGTGCCCGCTTTGCATCGATGCAATCCAATACTTGGCATCGCTTGTACGTGTGCTTATTTTTCTCGGCGAGGACCATCGAGGAGCATCCTTGCATCCTGGATCATCGAGGCAAAAAAGAACGCGCGAAACCAAACGATGCACAGGAAATAGACATCCGAGCGATGGCAAGAGTATCGGTTCTCTGTTGGTGCAAACCTGGCACGCGACCACAGATGTTCCAGCGTCGGTGGCGGGACTCGGGGCGCCCTGCCTGCTTGACGGCTGTCTGCTGGCCCCATCTCCACCAGTGCGCGTCCTGCGGGCTTGCGGCTATCCTCGAGCCAGCGTCCTTGATCACCCACCGGGATGCAGCCACGGCGATGCCCCCCCTCGGAGGCCCTAGCATGTGAACCATGGCATCATACAAAGTCCTTGCCCGATTTCCTCCCCCCTTTTGCCCTGCCATGGAAATTGCCTCGTGGCCGAGCGGTGGTGATCCCTCCTCTCCACTCTGGGCTGCGGCCTGCCGCAGGGCAAAATCCTGCGGACAACGCCCCCGCCCTGGCGTCGACGGCACATGGGCCCTGCTTGGTTTTTGGCACGAGGCGCGGGGTGGCCGTTGCCCCGCCGGATACGAAGACCTACTGATGGCTCAACGGATAGTTCTGCCCCTTCATTGCAGCTCCCATCCTCACCCGCCCCCCCTTCCCCTGGGCGGGTAGTGAGGCGAGCCGAGGCCGCTTGGACGCCACCGCTCGCGACCGCCGCGTTCGGCGCGCCAGGCTTCGCAGCTGACCAAGGAGGTGGGCGGCGGGGCCAAGGCGCCCCTCGAGGAGTGCACGGCGCCCCAGGCGGCCCCGCGCCCCATGAGACGGCGGCCGCGGCGGCGGTTTCCGCGCAGGTGGCGACGGCGGTGACAACGGCCAAGACGGCGGCGGCGGCGGCGACGACGTTGAAGACGGCGGTCGCGGCGACGACGGCGACATATCTATTCCTTCCTTCTTGCCTCCTGTCCTCCACGCACAAGCCTAGGGGGGGATCAGGTTTTCGGATGTCATTGGCTTTGATTTCTGACGTATCCGGGGGCTTGCGAGTTGCGGAGGTTTTCGTCCCAAACCGCGAATGTATTTTCTCTTTCTTTCTTACATTCTCTTCCACCCGCCCCCCTTCTCATCATCTTTGCCCGAGGAGGATAACTAGTTTTCGTGTTTCCCCTCTTCCCTCACTCCCTCCTCCTCCTTCTCCTCCTCCTCCTTCTCCCTCCGCCTTACGGGCGGTGCAGGACGAGATTCTTGCTTTCGCGGCGCGTTGCCCGCTGGGGATCATCTCGAGGGCGAGGGCCAGACAACGCAAGCGGCTACCGTCCCTTGGCTATCGTCGGTCGTGGTTTTGCTTCTTAACATTTGTTTCGTGTTAGCTGCGATCTCTTCGAGCCTGCGATGGGCATGCACATCGGCCAAGGGGTGCCGAGCCGATAGTCTTCATTCGAACGTTTCGGGGGCGGTCACAAGTGCAGGCACGCCGAATACCCCACCCCTGCTCCTCCCGCCCACGCCTCCTCCTCAATCCATCCACACGCCCTTTTCTTCCTCCTCGTCTTCCTCCTCTTCCTCCTCTTCCCTTCTTCCTCCTCCCCGCCCTCACCGTCCTCCTCTGCTGCTGCTCCTCCTCCTTTGCCCCCCTCTGCTCCCTCCTCTTCCACTCTCGCACGATGTTCTGGTCCTCCCGCCCTCACCCCCCCTCCGCCACCCCTACCTTTCACCCCCTTTCCGCCTCCCGCTTTTTCCCCTCCTCTTCCTCCCGCCTGCCCCTCCGACTCAATTTCCCTCCCCCTCTTCCCCCTCTTACTTCCCCATCCACGTTTTCTCAATCAATGCGCCCGTTTCGTGTCAGGGCCGAGGCAGCAGGACGTGCACCATCGGCGGTGGCGGGCGGCGCCTGCCAGGCGTCGGTTCGCGATTTGAGGTGGGCGGCCACCCGATTTGTTGCAACAATTTGTGCTGTCCCATCGCATGACCATGGGCAGAGCTTGGCAACGTGAAGATGCACTGGCGTCGTTTGGGGCCCCGTGGGTTTACGCTTCACATTTGGTTAGCCGCCCGTTAACACGAGAGGGGTGAAGGCGACGGCATGTGTGGCTTGTCAAACTTGTCCAATGGGTCGGGGCAACCTGGTACAGTGCCATCGAGCTGGCCGACGAGAATGGACACATTGTAAAACATCCGGCCATGAGTGGACGCCCGCGGCTGGAAACATTGGCAATTACGATGAACCAGATAGCGGCACCAAAAATGCAATGGTGATTCGTCTCAGCAAGCAGCGCAGCCAGGCCGAAGAGGTTGTGGCCCAAGCCAAGATTGACGATATTGCAGCCGTGTGTCCAGCAGCGGTACGTGAGCCACCAACAGCACCAGTGGTACCCACCACACGGCAGAAGGTCCAAGAGGCAGCTCTTGAACCCAAACGTGTGCAGACTGAACATGACAATGTGGTAAAAGCCACTTTAGCTTCGGAAGCGGGGACGCATATGCAAACCGACCCCAAGCAGGAAAGCCAGCCGACGATGACAATGACTCCCCGCAAGTCAGCAACGAGGAACTGCTTCATCTTGCCGCAGGCCAGCGCAAGTAATGCGAACGCATCGGGGGGAATCCCATTGAAACCGAGGTATCCAGCAACGGGAAGAAGGAAACAATCCTCAGTGAAGGGAAGGCCACCGATGAGTTCGGGAGCGCACAGTCAAACACCCTAGCCCCCAAACGACGCAAACGAGAACAAATAACCCCCGCAGCATAAGCACATGAACCTGCCAGCACAGACAAAGGCCAGCCAGCAGGATCCGTGTGCACGTCAAGACCAGCGGGCCCTGAAACAGCATTGGCAGGCCAGTTGGTCCGTTGGTCCTCCCCGAAGCGGAGCAGATATCAGGCCTACTTCGCGTAGTTGAAGTGCACCATGGCCAGGGCGGAAGCTAGGCCCACGGTGCTACACCAGGGGATACCAGTTGATATATATATATATATATATATATATATACATATGTACATACATATGTATATATATATATACACATATGTGTGTTGCGCACGCTGAGGCTGTGGACGCCAATGGTGCAGCCGCGGCAAATTTTCACCCGATACAGGGGGAAGTATCACGTGTTCGACTGGAGGCATATCATCCTGGTATGATGAAGAAGCAGGGGGCGTCGAGGGTGCCAACCACCTTCAGCAGTGCGCGCTCGCTGGCGGCACAAGTCTACATTCGATCGCGCCGACATGGCAGCGTGCCCAGGGGGGCGGAGACGGAGGCTTTGAAACACCGCGACGGCGCCCATTAAGACTGTCAGGGCCTCCGCGGCGCATTCTACGCAGCGAACGGGGCCGCTGAGCGCGCTGTCGAGGACGTTGCCAGTGCGCGCGGCATTCTAGCTTTCATCGAGCAGCGCCGCAGAGTTCTGATAACAGACCTCGAGGCAATCACATTTATGCGGCATGAGTGGCGTTTCCACGGCGCTTGCGCGCTAGCTTCGACGTCGCCGGGCTCGCGCGGCAGAACTGTTCGGAGGGCCCGGCCCTGCATGTTGCAACGACGTCGTCATGCCAGCAGGGTCCGCATGGCCGATGCTGCGGAAAATCGTGCTTTCGCAGATCAGATTCACGGCGCCCGACTTGTCATATGGAGGTAAAAAAGGTCAGACGATTGCCATTGCCGCGGCATACCTCGCGCCGTCCGCTGGGCTCGCAGGCGGGGACATCGAGGGAATGAAGCACCCCGCGCAGATCATGATAATCTTGGGAAACAGACCGTGGGCCATCATGGGGGGCCTCAACAAAGCACTGCAAGAGTTGGCGGATGCACCATCGCCGCGCGGACGCATTTCCTACGAGCGAAACGGCCTCTCCCAGCGGTGGGCATCCGCGGGGGAAGAAGATGTCTCGAGCGGCAATGGCGATACTGCCGGCAACATGAGGAGGGGATCTACATGCTACATGGCATGAGGCGATACTGCCGGCGCACTTTTCAAGTTATTTGCGCCGGCGCAGCGCGACGCTGTGATTTGGGGGCAACGTCGCAGCGACGAGAGACCCTGCGACGCCAGACTGGCCCCGCGATGGGCCAATATGTCGCAGGCGCGCCCGCGGAATTCCGGGGCGGGCGATCTCTCTCGCAGGCCATGCGGCGAGTGGGCAGATGCTGCCGATGAGAGTCTTGACCGCCGCATTGCCGGCGCGAGCCTGACGCGGGCGCCGCGCGCGCGTCGAGCCGCGACGCGGAGAGCCGGCGACGCAGCGGCGGGGCGCCAGCGCGTCCGAAAATGGCCAGCGGCAAATCATGAGTGGCGCCGGGCCTGGGAGCCAGCTACTTCACGCGTCTGCCACCAGACGACGGCCGCGCGCGCGCCTGCCGCGTACCCTCGCAATCATGCAGCGGCGGCGCTGGGGCGGAGAGGCGCATCTGGGGCTGCCCCCAGACGGCAGCCGCGAGCGCAAGCTGTTCACGCCGCCGCGGCCTGCGCCCATTCGAGACAGAAGGCCGCCTGCCCAACAGCGGCCGCTGCTGGCTGGGGACAACATTTGTTGTTGGGCATTGTACCCACTCTTTCCGCTTCCATTTCGGGCGTCCAAATCGTCGCCCAGCTGGCGGGATCCAGCGCCAGATGCGATCTGGAGCGGCAGAGTTGGATTGCGAACTGCGACCAGCTGGCGCGTCTTCTGGCCGAGAGGGCCAGCGAAATACATCTTGACCATGAGCCGGATGTCTCGACACCTGGGATCAGCGAGCGGGCGGGGGCGCGCGGGGCAGCGCGACGGCGAGTTGGGCGACAGTCGCGACAGGCGCGAAGGCGCGCGCGTGAGCATGGCACCCCATGGGCCAGAACAGCAAGGTCAGGTAGCATGGCTCGAAAGGCGCGACCTACCATGTGCAGCCCTTGATCCAAGCACTGCGCAGGACGGCAGCGCTCCGCCCGCAAAGTGACGCAGAGCAGATCAAGCATTCGGCAAACAAGGTGGCAGCGCCAAAGCGGAGGCAATAATCAGGCAGGCCACGGTGGAGCTTCACAGCGCATCACTACCTTCACTGCACGAACGCCCAGGCTTCGACTTGGAGCTGGAGGCCCCCATCGCCGCGTTCAAGCCGACGATTGCCAGAGGAGCGGCTGTATGGGAACCAATCGATGACAAGATTTTGCCCGCTGACGCCAAGCGTTCAGCCTCACTTCTGTGATCAGCTCTAGATAACGCATTCTTTGCCAGCCCGCCAATCCTATCGCGCGCGGTGCCGGAGTCCAATGCAGCGGGAAAGGGGCGGCCTTTTTGGCGTCGAACTTCCCCAGTGCGCCCATGAGATACGGTGGCAAAGGCGCACGCTATATAATGTTGCGCAGCAGATGCGCGGGGCTGCGCCTAGGCGATCGAAGGACTTTCGGCGCTCCGAGCAGCACTCCTCTACGCGGCCATGGACGAGACCAGCTCCGAGCTGGGGGGCGCCCTCCGGGGCGGCTTCAATGTGGGCCTTGAGAAGTTCTGCGACTGCGTCGACATGGGCGCGCTCATCAAACGTGCCAAGAAACTCGACTGTCCGAGGGTTAGTTTAGATGAGAGCACGTCCATGTACAGATTCCCGGGACTGGGGCGAGCGCGCCGAGACCACGCGCTGCCGACCTGTCGCTGGAACGAAATGGTGGCGGGTTCGCCGCGGTCAACCATGCGTTTCGCGCCGCAGTTGGCATCGTCTCGGACATCGCTCACAAAGCGGCCCCACAGGCTATCGCGCGAGGGCCCCATTGTTTCGGTGGCGGCCCCCGGTGGGAGCGAGCACCTCGGCGCAGGCATGTCTCGACTCAAGACCT